GAGTAGTCTATTCTGCACACTCCCCTCTGTGCCGGAAGTGGCTCCTGCCCAGGCGTGGGCGGTCAAGGGCCTTCTCCTCCCTGAGAACCGGCCCATCTCTGCCTTCCTGGGTACGGCCTCACCTAGCGGCCTGTGTCCGCCCGCTGCCTTCCCTGACCAGGAGCCCTGTGCCTGTCTGGCCTCTCTCTTCCCACCTCTCTCTTTCACCTCAGGGCTCAAGGTCCAGCCAACGTCCGGCTCACCCATGGGACCTCCCTTCCGTGGCTCTGACGGCCCTGCGGTCCTCCACAGGAGCCACCCTCTGTCTGGCATGCTGTCTGTATCTTCCCACGTGGGCCCGTCTGGACTGGCCAAGTAACCCGTGCCAGGGGACCCCGACTCCAATGTTTTCTGCACCAAGCTGGCATACGACGCATGCCCTTTATTGGCGAGTTAACGTGGAACGTGTGCTGCCTACGAAAGCCTCAGCATGGTGCTTTCCTTTCCATCATGACGAGAAGCCAGCCGACAAGTGAGACCACCTTGAGACACAGCGCCAAGTCAGGACTGGAAGGGCAGCGCTTCACGCGCTGATGGGGAAACTGAGGCTCGCTTGCCCGCCCGCTCACTCATTCCAAAACATTCCGTTGCCTGGAACGTGGAAGGTTCTCTGAGCGGGAGTAGGTCTGTGGTCCATGAACTCAGGGTCCGGCCTGCCACTCTCTGGAAGCTCCGTGAGCATGTTTATCTGTGTCCCCAGCTCCCAGCGCGGGCAGGGCCCAGGGCGGGTACTCAGGGCAAGGCCGGTGAATGAATGAGTGCAGCACCGTTATCTGTGAGGCATCGGCTCCAGCCACAGCCAGGGGGGCCTTCAGGAGGGTGCCCTGCCCTCTGGCCTCTGGGCTGCTAGCGGTACGGACCTCTCTTCTCGCTGGGCTGGTGAGTGGGAACGCAAGCTCTGCTGTCTCTGGGCTCGCATCGTTAGCCTTGGTCTTCAGCAGCTGGTGAGGCCCTCGCCCTGCGGACAGACTGCTTCATCCCCAGAGGATCCGAATCTGAGGCACACACACGTCTCTCTCTGGAAGGGAGACGTTTGTTTCCCCGAGGGTCACGGTTTGTTCAATGCCATTTTAGTCCGGGCTATATTTTCCTTTATGGAAAGAGTCGGTATAAGATTCTTCTACATGCGATCTTGATAATGCTCCAGGAAGAGTTCGTTGAGGCCAAACACAGCCCAGCACGTTTCACCTTTCAAAATGCTATCTCTCCGTGGAGACGTCTCTGACCTAAGCCAGCTCCCTACATTATTTCCTGACACTGTAAGTGTACTCTTTGGGAATGACCAGCAGCAGCTGATTATTTAATACTGAAAGACTTTGGGGGCACCTGGGTGGCTCAGTCGGTTGAGCATCCGACTTCGGCTCAAGTCATGATCTCAAGGTTCTTGAGTTCGAGCCCCACATTGGGCTCTGTGCCTGGAGCCTGCTTCAGATTCTGTGTCTCCCTCTCTCTCTGCCCCTCCCCCACTCATGCTCTGTCTCTGTCTCTCTCTCTCTCTGTCAAAAATAAACATTACAAAAATTTTTTTAAAAATACCGAAAGACTTTGTGACAAGTACAAATTAGAGACATACATGAGATGACATAGCACACGATGTGTGCGCCCCAACCCATCCCATAACGTCCGTGTAAACACTTGTTACGTACAGAAGGCAAGCTTTTTATGGTCCGTCGTTTTGCATTTTCTTCACAGGCGCCGTAAATAAATAAAAATATTAATAAACCACAACTGTGCCGCCTAAAATCAATAATAGCTTTATGTTTGAATGGAGGGACTAATTGGGTCTCCTTCTGACCTCTCTCTGCTTCTAATCACTCGGTAATATTTGTCGAATGCCAGACACAGGTGTACTTTCTATGCTATGCTGTGTTTTCAACAATAGATTGAGATTTTAGCACGATGTTTTATATTTCATCCTAAATTTTTTTTATTTGCAAGTGTATGAAGTCACATTGGTTATGTTTGATAATCCATTTTTGGCATGTATTTTCATATAAATGATAGGGTGTTTGGGCCTCTTGGCTCTCACAACATAGTAAGGAGGACCCCTGCATGTGGAAATATGGCTGTGTGTGGGTTGGAAATAATAAGGATTATAAATGACTCACTAGGTATAGAAAATAAAGGAGAAGACTTATCGGGGAGAAGTAAAGAACCTTGCTCTCTTTATGCACCGCCAAAGAAGCCACCACAAAAGATATATTACTGTTTCCCTTCTTGTTATTTCTAAGGGGGGTTTTATTAACCCCTTTTTATCAATCAAAATAAATTGATTGCCAGTGAATGCAATATTTCCTGACTATATATAATTTGAAATTATAAAAGAAAAGCAAAGATGTGCAAGCTCATATACTACAGCTCAGGTAAAGAAGAGACAAACCCCCTCCAAAGAGATTGCTAAATAGTGTTAAAGATTTGTGCGGCCGGCCCTTAGAACATTCTCTCTAAGGATATGATCAGGCCTGGGGAGTCTTCGGGAATCCGGCTTCCTTCTGCCGTGTCAGTGGCCAGGTGTCCCAGAACACTGCCATTTCATATTTATGCCCCATCATAAAAGGACATATTTCTGCAGGGTAAATATAGGGATGGTCAATAAAAACTCGGTCCTGGGTAAGGAAGGATGATTCAAGCGGGGAGAAAAGTGAGTGGCCGGAAACCCACTGTGCATCATGAAGAGGGGACCAGTCACTGCTTGTGATTCAGGGACCAAAAATGCATGGAAAGCTAGAAAATTAGGATTTCATCCAAACGGCGGAAAGCATCCCTCCTGGTCCGTGCCAGGCTGGTAAGAAGGCGGGAGGGTCCAGGACGATAGGAGTAAAACACAGCAGGATGGAACGGGGGCCCAGCCGGGCTTCCCACACGGAGGGGCTTGGGCTGCTGGCTGGCGGAGACCTCGCTGAACCAGGAGGCTCTTTGCCTCTCCCACCACAGGCCCTGGGGCGATCCAGCCCCACCTGCTGGGCTCAGCACCTGCCAGAGCCTTCCTGTGGGGTCTGTGGGACCCACCTCTCCCTCAGACCCTTCCAGGGTCCCACACATTTGCCTCTTCACATAGGAAGGGGACTCTTCCCCTCCATCTCCGACTACTCATTGAACTGAGGAAAGAAAGAATGGTTGGAAAGTCAAAAGGGAATGTTAGCATTGACATTTTTAAGTGAGATACTTCTTTCGATTACAATAAGGCGTATTTCATGTGAGTGAGTGAATAATAGATACTAACTTAAACGTAGGCTAATAATGGAGTTACCACCAAGTTTTGCTTTACTCTGATGGAAGGGACACATCCATGGAGGTCTAAACTTCAGCTACTTTGTCATGAGAATGTGAAATAGTGACTCATTTATTTTATATACATGCTACAGAGCAATAGGACCCAGGCATCATTTAAAAATCAGTGGTTTGCCGGACACCTTGGGGGGCTCGGTCAGTGAAGCGTCTGGCTCTTGATTTCAGCTCAGATCATGATCTTATGGTTCATGGGTTTGAGCCCCACGTTGGGCTCTGAGCTGACAGTGTGGAGCCTGCTTAGGATTCTCTCTTTCTGCCCCTCCCCGTGCTCTCTTTCTCTCTCTCTGCCAAAATAAATAAATAAACTTTTTAAAAAATCAGTGGTTTGCTCTTTTTTCTCCTTTCTTGTTTGTTCGGTTCTGGAGGAAGGAATTTTTTTCCCTAATGTTTATTTTTGAGAGAGAGAGAGAGAGAGAGAGAGAGAGAGAGAGAGAATGCAAGTGAAAGAGGGGTAGAGACAGACACACAGAATCTGAAGCAGATTCCAGGCTCTGAGCTGTCAGCACAAAGCCCAACTCAGGACTTGAACGCACCAACCGCAAGATCGTGCATGACCTGAGCTGAAGTTGGATGCTTAACCCACTGAGCCACCCAGGTGCCCCCAGAGCAAGGAATTTGAAGGCAGCAGCTATTCTACAGGAAAACCGCCCCAACCGTGAAAACCCGAAATGAGTGAGCCAGTTTGGAGACCATCTGAACTGAGAATCCTTTCTGGATTTGAAGCAAATCCAAATTTGTTCCCAGCACCAAGAGTTAGTATTTTGCCAAATCCCTGACATTGCCCCTGAACTTCCTGGAGGGCAGCTACTGGGAAAGGGCACAGAGGCTCCTGAGCTGGCTGAGTAGAGGTGCCTTGAACGTCATGCATTTTGCCCTATCCTGCCCACTGGACTCCAGCGGGGGCGCCGTGGCGCTGGGCCAACGTTCACACAGCAACTCTGGAAAAGGTTCAAGAAGACAGATTCCAGAGGATTAAAATAAAAATCCTGGCCTACCTTAGTCCTGCCCCTGTGCAGGAAGCTGTTGTGGGTGTGGTGGACTTTCGAGGAATTTAGGCAAGTGTAAGACTACTGTTGTCGTTGATTTAACCAAAGTCGAACCAGTCAGCTTCCCGGGTTGGGATGGCCTCTGCTGTGCACCGAGAACCGATGATTGGCTGTTAGCGGTGGGTCGCTGAGCTGTGTCTCCAAGGAATGTGTGTGTTTGCAGTGTTTCCCAGACCTCTGTGCCCTGAATCCCTTCCACAGACAGGAAGGGCCAGCTTCACTCATAGTGCCTACTGGACACTCCAGGTGTCCACTCCGTGTGGCGACCTCTCCGTGCCAGAGCAGACTGTGAGAGGGCGCCAAGGTCAGCGGGACAAAGGCCCATGCATTCAAGTGAGACAACATGGATGGAGAACCAGGGTCTGTAAGGGTCCCTGTGGAGACGTGAGCTGTTGGGGCCACACAGCCTGAAGGTGCTTCCCTGGTTAAAACTTCTCAGCTCTGTTAAAGATTTTTTTTAATGTTTATTTTGAGAGAGAGAGAGAGAGAGATAGAGAGCGAGCACAAGTGGGGGAGGGAGAGAGAGAGAGGAAGACACAGAATCTGAGGCAGGCTCCAGGCTCTGAGCTGTCAGCACAGAGCCCGACGCGGGGCTCAAACTCGTGAACTGTGAGGTTGTGACCTGAGCTGAAGCCGGACGCTCAACCGACAGAGCCACCCGGGCGCCCCTAAAACTTCTCAGCTCTCTTAAGAATGACTTCTGATTGACAAGGGATCTGGTTTGTGACACCAAGTCAAGTTCATCTGTGTCCTTAGTTCCTCAAAACCGATGCAGGAATTATAACCAGGAGCAGAGAATTAGCACCAAAAGGACTTAGAGAAGACAGAGTCATGGGCACGCACGCAATACGGTCTCCCTGTGAAAGGTTGATGCAAGACAACGAGCAGCTGCATAGAAACACACACAGCGATCACAAACACTCATGGCCAACCAAGTGTCCTGTATCTGCAATGATCACACCCCGGGACCTGGACCTTCAGGTAAACAAACACGCACGTGCAAGTGTGCGTGTAGTGACAACGTGCGGAGTTGTCCTCACCACCACCCTTCCCCCAGCCCCATACTGACACGCCTTCACAGCACAGTTCAGACTTGGTAAATGTCACAGGATGTCAAGTGCTGAGAAGGGCAGGAGAAGGTACTAGAAGTTGGCAGGTTGGGGAAAAAAGTACCCATTTGGTGGATCAGCAGAGCCTCTACAGACTCAGAATCAGTATTTGAGGCCAATCTGAATTCTGGCCTCTCTAGGTTGAATAAAGAAACCACTCAACAAAGGATGCTCCTTCCCCAGCCTGAGGAGGTGGCTAATGCCACCTACCGCCCGGAGACTGGTTCTGCAGCTGGTTCCGGCCACCCCGTCTGGTCCTCGGTGGAAGAGAGATAAGAATTTATGCCAGGGATGGAAAACGGGCTGTCACCTCTCAGGACGGTGATACACTGCAGGGAATTAAAAATTAATTTAAAAATTATCTGGCTAAAGTGTTTTTGGAGATCGCAATGAATTGGATTAAGATTCGTGGACTACATTTCTTATAAATACATTTCTTCTGCAGGGCACCTTATGAGGTACGTTCATATTTTTTTCGTGGGTAGCAACCCCAAAAGCTTCATCCCAATTCTAGATTAGGTTATTGGGTACATGCTTACCTGCATAGTCGTATCTTAGGAGAAACTGGATTGCTGTGGAACCATCAGATAACACACATTTCTGAAAAGAAATGGAATGTATTTTTATTGGCACAGCCAAGATGAAGTATGTCTTGAAATCTGTTTTACAAATAAACTTGCACATAAATTGTCCATTCACTGCTTTGAAATCTTTTTTCACGTTTGAGGAGCTGTCAGAGGTCCCTAATAAACATGAGTCTTATTTAGTTTACTGGATATGTAATTCTTCTTTTCTTTGAAAATAATTATTTTTCAAGCAAGTGCAGCAAAAATACAACCAATAAAAATCTAGCTATGACAGCATAAACAACCTTTATAGCCAGCATATACATAGAGTTCTTCCAATAAAAGCAGTTTCTAGTAGGGAAAGGAACACAGAAAATTGGCCGACTGGTCGGAGATCAAGGTCTGGGCTCCTAAGGGTCGACAGCCTGTTTCCACTTCTCCATTGGGATAATCCCTGGTTATCGGGGACAGTTGGGGCATCCCAACTGCTGGTATATTTCAACGTGGTTTGTGAGACACCTGCCCCAGGGCCCATTCTTGGGGCCACCAAAGCTGATGGACGGTGGGGTGAAGGTCCCCAGAGGGCTCCGGAGGGCAGGATGCAGACCCTCTACATTTTGCATCCGGCCCTGCGGTCTCTCAGGAGGGTGGTGTCAGGATGCCAAGGTGAGTGGGCAGGGCTGGGGCAGGGGGATTAGGGTCCATTTAGCAGAATTTGGTCCAAGGATTCTACTCTGGATTTTGGTCACCTCCAACTCCGACTAGTCAGGGCTCCCTTCCAGGTGTGTTGTTTGGGCCCTTCCCAGCTCTGCGTCCTGGGGTGGTCTCACTGTGCCCTGATCATGATCCTTGGCCACCAGCACGTGTGGACAGAGCATGAACCCTGCAGCTGAAGGCTCCTGGGCGTCCCCAGCCAGGTGCAGACTCTTCCCGGGAAGCTCCGTGTTAGCAAGTTCTCAGCAGACATGCGGGTGCTCATTTATGCTTTTTATAGTAGCTCCAGAAGATGTTATCGCAGCTTGAGAACAGAAATTAAAATATGTATCCTTCAGGTGCAAATCTACTGTACTTACAGTTTTACTGTTTCTCTGCAGGGGGGCTCCATTAATCTTGTAACAGTGAAATTCCTAAGGAAATTAATTCCCTCCAGTTGGGGTTATTCTCAACTGGTCTTTGGGGGCGGAGTAATTGGAATTTAAGAGTCTCTCTTAAAAGAAAGGAAACATTGGCCATTTTACTTGAATAACAACACTTTTTAATGCCATGCCTTGCCCATTAAAAACGCTGGTTCGTTCTCTCCCCGCCCTCCCCCCACCCCAGGACTCCTGTGTCTCTCAGATCCTTGGGGTGAGGTTTACAGAAACCCCCTCCAGGTGGGGACTTAATTCCAAGTCCTCACCTAGGGTGACCAGGCATTCCTGTCCGCCATGACTTATTTGTGTCTGCCTAGCTCCTCAGCACTGTGCCCTGCCAGGGAGTAAGTGACACTTGGCCCCAGGAAGGAATGATGTGTCATTAAAAATGCAGGGCGAAAATATTTCCTTGCCTACTTAGGAGCAGTTAATGTTAGCTGTCGTTACCTGGAAAAATAATGACCCCTCAGTCTCTCTCTCACACTCACCCCTCTTTAAAATGGGGTCCATTCACAGATGCAGGGTGGGGGGGGGGGCTGCTTTGCTGCCAGGAAGGCCTCCCGCAGCTCTGTCTGGAGCTTTGGTTCTCCCAGGCCAAGACTTCACAACGCGGGGTCCCGGCCTCCAGATCCCTGTGCTGCAGGTCCCTGAGACGCAGCACAGCACCCGTGGAGAAACCTAACTGTCCTGTCCTTTTCAGGGCTGGGCCACTGTCCCAGGAGAGCTGAGCTGTGCCTGGTTCCTGACTGAGCAGGGTCTGGGAGCCCGGGAGAGGCCCCTGCTCAGGGGACACTTAAGGTGAAATGTCACTGGCTTCCCTAAGGGGGCGCCGGGAGGGAATAGAACATGGCTAAATGATGCTTCTGTATGGGGTCAGGGGAAGGTCAGTGCCTGGGATGAACACACATCGGTACATAGGCCGAAAACAGCCCCAGTATACTGCTTTCCTGTGTTTTTACGCTCTTCCACACTAACGGGCTGGAGGGAAAGCCAAGTCCAGAGTATTCTGTAATGGGCCAAACCAGTTTAATAGGATAATGAGCTTTCCCCTTTGGGTGCAACAAGCTTAGAGACGACAGCGTACTCACAGCGTACTCACAGGGGAGGGATGGGGTGCAGTGGGGTACACGAGACGGGCAGGAGGTGTAAAGAGAAGGCCTAGTGTGATCTTGGTGTTGGTCCTTCCCTGCCACGGGTCTGGGTGTTTCCTTAGCTATGAAGTGTAGGTAGGTGGTGATGTTTTCACCTCAGCAGCCGGAGGAGCACTGAGTGATACAGACTCTTTTGTGAGGGCTTTGGAAGGCTGACAAGCACTTTATACGTGTATATATGCTTAAGTACCTGTAACTCAGATGCAACAGCCTCCCACATGTGGCTTGGGCTCAGGGCTGAGGGGAGTGGTCTTTTGTTGCCAAAGTCAGAGCATTTTATTTTTTTATTTGAGAGAGAGAGAGAGAGAGAGCGAGCCAGCAGGGGAGAGAGACAGAGAATCCCAAGCAGGCTCCACGCTCAGCACGGAGTCCAACTCTGGGCTCAATCCCACGACCCTGGGATCATGACCTGAGTCAAAATCAAGAGTTGGACACTCCACCAACTGAGCCAGCCAGGTGCCCCCAAAGTCAGAGCATTTTAAAGCTCAGAGGTCAGCTGCTAACCATTATGCCTGTGTCTAATGTCTATCACTCACTATGTCGATGGTGATAGCGGCAGAAAGAGCATGAGTGACAAGTGGTGACGTAATCTGGGAGTTTTCCTTTTTTTTTTTGTAAGTAGAGAGCATGTTCTGTAGCTGGTGTGTGCTACTATCAGCAAATTCCATTTAAAGGGGAAATAGGGATTTTTAAAACAGCCACATTCAGAAGGGGTGATTACTACTGCTTTTTGAAAAAGAATCACTATTGCACATTTCCCTTGTGCATTACAATTTCATTATTTTTAAAATTACAAAGACAGTCCATGTTCTTTGAAAAAATGCAAATGACACTAAGAAGTACATAACGTAAAAAATGAAGGTCTTCCCTTTCACTCTGCTCTTTTGCGGGGGCAAGCTCTCCTAACACTTTGGGGCACATCCTTCTGAAGAACTTTTTCTATGCTGTGTTCAGCTATAGGTAGTTATGTCATTTAATTTCTTATATTCCTGTTTAATATGGCCATCAGAGTGGGGTACCTGAGTGGCTCAGTCAGATAAGTGTTGGATTCTGGATTTTGGCTCAGGTCATGAGCTTATGGTTTGTGGGTTCGAGCCCTGCGTCCAGCTCTGCGTTGACAGCATGAAGCCTGTTGGAGTTCTCTCTCTCTCTCTCTCTCTCTCTCTCTCTCAAAAATAAACATAAAAAAACTTTTTAAAAATGGCCATGGGAGTATACACCCTGTTTTGCAACATGGGGTTCCCCTCCTTCTATTGCATTTTTGCATAGTAATCTCTAGGTTTTATTTAAAAAACTTTTTTTCATTGTAAAATAATTTTGTGCCACGTGCAGTTCTAAGAAATAATACAGAGAGATCCTGTGTACCTTCTCCCCCAAAGAGGACATCTTGCAAAAAACCATAGTACAAAACCACAACCGGGATGTCCATGATCACACAATCCGCCCCTTTTCTTCAGATTCCCGAGTTTTACTGGAATTCATTTGTGTGTGTATTTTGTCCTATGCAATTTCATGTTTAGGTTTGCATGTGTAACTACAGTCAGGATACAAAACAGTTCCTCATGGCTCCCATTGCATTTTAAATAATGTAATTTTCCATTTTCAGTAACATCTATCCCATTCCATCCGCACCTTTTAGTTAATTTCATTTTAGATTAAAATGCTATCCTGTGGGACGTCCAGACCTGACTTCACCTGCAGTCGCGCACACACCCTCCTCCCGGCTGCTGTAGAACTGTCTGGAAGGGGCGGAGCCTCCGGGAGCGGGTGCCCAGCGAGGCGGGCGTCCGCGATGCCAGGAGCACGCGGGTCAGGCGAGCTGGCGCTCCCCCGGAAGCTCCGCCCCCGGTTCCGTGCTCGCCCCAAGCGCAGGCCCGGGGCGGCCCGGGGGCGGGGCTTCCGCGCGCAGTCGCCCGGAGGCCCCGCCCCCGCCGGCCGCCCGCGCTCGATTGCTCTTGTCTGGCGGCTGCAGCATGGCGGCGGGGGCGGCCGAGGCGGCGGCGGCTGTGGTGGAGGTCGGTTCAACCCGACAGTTTGAGGAGCTGCTGCGCCTCACAGCCAAGTAAGCGGGGCGGCGGGCGGCGGGGCTGAGGGGACGCACGCGGGGGGCGGCCTCCCGGGCGGCGGCCGGCGGC